ACTAACCAATTAGATGGCCCCACACTATATTAAAATTCATGTGGCGTCGCATTCACAAGGTAGGAGTAACAAATATGGCGTAAACATATTAATTAGATGATAAAACATAAAATATAACTAATTTTTTTTAATTTTTTCATAAAATTTTTAAAAAAGACGGACAGTCAAACGTTGGACATGATAACACGGATATATTTATTTTGAGATGGAGATAGTGATAGAGATGTGTACACACTTCACTAGGAACCTCGTAAGTATATCTCAAATCAAACCAGACACGAATATATTGGAAACATGGCCACCAGATTTAATTACCAGAGATATTAAAATATACTCCCTCCGTCCCATAATATAAAGGATTTTGAGTTTTTGCTTGCAACGTTTGACCACTAGTCTTATTCAAATTTTTTTGAAATTATTATTTATTTTATTTGTGACTTCCTTTATTATCTATAGTATTTTAAGCATAACTTTTCGTTTTTTATATATAAAAAAATTGAATAAGACGAGTGGTCAAACGTTGCAATCAAAAACTCAAAATCTCTTATATCTCTTATATTGTGTAACAGAGGGAATAGTAAATTACATCAAAACCAAAGTACGATCGCGGTCGGTGGGGTCGTTTTTTTCTTTTTTTGTAAGACTATAATCAACGGGGTCAATTTGGAGTAAACCCAGCACCGCTGACAATGAGGCTTCAATACAGAATAAGCAACGAGGTGCAACTGAAACAAGAATATCTGGAACCGGATGCATACGGCGCATCTGGTGTACATCGTTCACGTGGTAAACTGGTACCGGTGTCTTGTTTATTTGATCGGTATCTTTATATTCGTGTTCGTGGTGATTGGTAAGTGGTAACACCTCCTATCGTAAATAAGATTTTTTTTTGCAACTAAAAAGATCATCAAGGCACTATTAATTACTACCCGTATCCCATAATAATTGTATTTCTAAGATTTAAACTTGTCCTAAAATAATTATCATAGTAGAGTACTAATTGTCCCATCAATCACTTCTCATTTAAATTTCTTCCAATTCTACCCTTTATCACTCTTACAATCTTACCTATACACCATTTAATAAGGGGGCACCATAATCTTTCTTCTCAAACCTTAATACATGCTAAACAATTTAGAATTACAATTATATTGGAACTAAGCTCGTAATTATTAATCATTACATACAAAATGAGCGGAAAAAGATATGTGTATTAGACACATTTTCTTTCCCAGGGATATTTATTACTACAAAGTTCACTAAATGTGAAATGTTAAATGATTCTAATTTAAAGCCAACAAAATGTAGAAAATTATAACATTTGTAAACCATTTTGAAGAAAAGATTAACTACATTGTTTTTTAAAGATAAATAAAAAAATATTTCAAGAAAAAATAATATAAAAGTTTAAACACATTAATTAAGCATTCTAACTACTAAATTTCTGACCAAAGGGAGTATCCGTTATTACAAAGCTCACGACTTAGTAATTAACAAGTTTCTAATCAAAAGGGGATATCAATTATGGCTACATCGAATATGTAGGATTTTCAAAACACAAGGGTAGAGAAAAAAAAAAGTAGGATTCGAGTGCCTTGATATCTTTAATCCTATATATACATAAGAAAAAACATAGAAAAATTACATAAAATAATATTTGGGTTGAACACACGAAAAATATATGAATCAGAAGATAGATATATATAAAGAGTTTTTTTTATAAGAGGTTGAACCTTATATATATTGAAAATTCTCCAAAATTTGTATGATTTAAGATAACTGAAGAAATTTCAACGAAATATGGTAGCAGTTAAAATAAAATATTTTATATACTGTACAGTCAATTATTCTATATTAAGGTCCTACAACATATTAATATTTTATATCAAACTGTAGCTCTCCTTAGTCCGATGCTCAAGAATCTCTAGAAAGTTGTTTAATACAGTCACTTGGAATCACCACCAAATTAATTGTGTTTAGATTCCTTCACGTGCGGCCTTCCACTTGTGGAGGTTCCTTCTAACAGGTTTCCCAATTTGGTTATGCCATATTTGTCGATACTCCCTCCGTTCCAAAATATAATAAATTAAAATTAGATGAGATATTTTCTAATACAATATATCTGGATAGATTTTCTATCCAGATACATTATACTAGGAAACATCTCATCCAATCCTAGATTCTTGTAATTTAGGACGGAGGTAGTAGAAAATTAGAGTGAAAACCCCGGTCAAAAAAATTAGAGTGAAAACTTATGATTTTTATACCGTCAGATGCACTTTGAGATTCGTGATGGGAAACTTGTCACGCGAGGAGACGAGGAAGCGAACTGGTGATGACACAACCACATCTGTAGCCAACGGAATATTTAACTATTTATCATTCTTAAATATGGCCTTAAGCATTTGCTATCTGAACATATTAGGGACAAATGGTTAAATGTCATATCTAAAATTAGCAAATAGTTAAATGTTCCATAGCCAATGGTACCACGTGTTCTTTTTTTAATAGTATACATTACTGTTGTAATTATAATATAATTATATTACAATTTACGTTTAAAAGTTTTCTAAAAAAATGGAATGTTGTACTGCTAGTCCCCTCCCAAATATGCCACAATTGAACCAAATTTTCCTAACTGCTTATTTCATCAATTTAAACTCTTAATTGTTGGCTTCATCGACTTTTGATGATAAACATGTTAGGCTATTCCCAACCCAAGACACTAGACATAGTATCCATAAACTCCACATCATCAAGAAACTAGTACTAGACACTACTCTTCCAATGCAAACACCACTATTCCATACTTAATTAAATTTAATGCTACTTATCTCACATGATGTCTTGGATATTGTGTAGAAACCATGTCTCATGCAAGATATGGTTTCTTTCTCTTTACTTATTTATTCACTTGCTACATCATTTTTTATCTTAGGTGGCAGCTTATTTAATATTATGGACGCCATCCTAGTCATTGGGTTGGAAATATGTTAGTGATATGCTCTAGAGGCAATCATAGAGATGATTATATCACATACTATGTTTACATATTTATCCGACATTGTTCCTTAAAATAGATTACTCATTATTGGTTAATGAATATGTGATTCTTTCATGAGACTCTTTATATTATGTGTTGCTATTTCTAAAGGATCCCTGATCAAATATCATATGTGGAACAAATATGTTTAGATGATCAGCACATGTATTAATTGATGATCATGTCTCATAGATCATGGTATAGAGATACCAAATTAATAATGTGGACACAAGTTGGTGAATATGTTGTTGGATAGACCCAACATGAGACACTGCAAGAGCCATATGTGTTGTGTCATCAGTGATCTCATTTAGTGTTGGTGTTGAATCCTTAGACCTGAGATTATCATGGTTCTCAACATGTGTAGTAGCTTACTTAGGGACTGTTAAACGCTACTCTGTAATTGGGTAGTTATAAAAAGTAGTTTTCGGGTATGCTATGAAACATGTAGTGGGATATGAATAATCAAGATGAGATCTGCCCCTCCTATGGAGAGATATCTCTGGGCCTCTCGATGTTGTAGATTATGGAAGTGCATGGCCATGCCAAAGGTGATTGAGCAGTCAATCACAAGTTATATAATCTATTAACAGGTTCGAGTGAATGATTGAGCTATTAGAGGATGGCACATATCTAGCCTTGAGCTTAATCGATATCGTGAGGCAATGGGGTTCATACAAGTATACACTAGAGGTTCAGCCGATATGATCTTTATATATGCCCGGTGGGTCAATACGTTCTGCTAGGGGCCGCTGTTGACGCGTGGACCGAAAAGGAGTTCTCGGGTTACAGCCGAGTATACATGAACCTCCAGGGTCGCACGCTTAATGGGCCGGAATAAGGGGATTGGATGGAGATCCAATATGAGCTTAATTCGGATAGGGATCCGAATATGAGTCCTACGGGCCTTGGAGGCCCGAGTGATGGATTTTATATATTCGTGAGGGGTGTGACCGGCGGATATAATTGCATCACGTGAGAAACCCTAGCCGTCACTTCCCTCCCCAAGCAAAACCCTAGCCGCGCGCGGGTGCTAGCACATCTGCACGTGGCCTTCCCTTCCCTATACGTGTGGATACCGGTAGAGGCGCCGCTGGTTTGCGGTGCTGATCGGCGTGGGAGTACGGCGAGGAGAACGTACGAGGAGGAGAAGGTCGAGCCGGTGCGATCGACTACTTCCTCTACATCGACGCACGCTACTTCGCGAGAGTTCCTTCGACTTCTCAGCGTCTTCTTCCGCTGCGCAGCACGTCAAGTGGTAACGATCTATGATCTAATACTTGCATGGTTCCTGGTTTACGCGATAAAAAATTTTGATTTATTCTATCGTAGCCTACGCGTATCCCAACAAAATGGTCTTAAGAGATTTTCAAAGATAGAGCCCATCATTTTAGTCCCATCATTTCAAAGATATCGCACTGGTGGTCACCAGGGAGAGAGGGGGAGACCGAGAGCAAGAGGGGAGATGGAAAGCACTAGCTGGTGATTTTTATTCCCATCGGCTCCGCTATAGCTTGATGAATGAGCTCGGCTTGGCTGCTATTTTGTACCGGTTTACCTAAACAACCGGCTGTGGTGATATGACATTATGTTACTGTTAGTTCATTTAAAAAATTAGGTACTAATTAATGACCTTATATCAAGTTTTTATATCCTCGTGGCATGCAGGGGTGTAAAGTCCCTGTCATTACCAGTTTTTACCTAACATACATCATTGGGACAATACTAACAACGTATTATGTAGTAGTCGTGTTATTTTTATATTATTTGTATATAGGCCACTTGCTATTGAGATTCACTGTGACAGCAGATTTTTTTTTAACGAACTGTGTACGTGTTATTTTTCTATGGACCACTTGCGCTATAGGTTCAGTGTAACAGCAAACATTAGTCTTTTTCTTTTCTCCAAGCAAGCTGGCTACAATGCAGCCTTCAAGATCTATATAATTGTCGATCAGTAACAACGTCCAGAGTGCAGCGCAAATAGTTACTACCTATTATGGTGAAGTTCACTGCACGCCGGGGCAAATCTGAGCTAGTGGCACCAGCGAGGGCCACACCAAATGAGCGAAAGTATCTCTCCGATATTGACAACCAACACTCTCTACGGTTCTATGCTACCGCCGTTGAGTTCTTCCAGCTATGCACTTTCGATGGCTACAAGCCACACGATCCGGTGAAAGCAATCAGGTCCGCGCTTGCAGAGGCCTTGGTACACTACTACCCCATAGCCGGTCGGCTGAGAGAACTTCCACAAGGTAAGCTGGTAGTAGACTGCACGGTAGAAGGGGTGGTTTTCGTGGAGGCGTATGCAGACGTGCGGCTAGAGGAGCTCGGCAAGCCGCTTTTGCTGCCCTACCCGTGTGTAGAGGAGTTCTTATGTGACCCCGGCGATACTAAAGTGGTGGTCGGCAAACCATTGTTGTTTCTGCAGGTACTATATATATATATATATATATATCACTCATTTTATTTCCTTTCCCTTCAAATTTTCAATGTGGTTTACAACTTTCAGAATTAGAGACATATATAATTTTTAGATTTTCAAGTATTTGTTAATAGGCATCTCTAGGTTATAGTTATAGTAACCCAAGATTTGAAAACATTGGGCATGCAGTTTGTTTTATATGCCTACTATATATACTATATATTTTATATGGCTTTTGGTTTCTAGTCTTGTCATATTTTTCATTGATAACATTTTATAGCCTGATTTTATTGGTAGATGTGATAGATAACATGCATAATGCTAGAATCTTTATGCAATAATTTAGAAAAATCATTTGTGTTCCTAGCCGCTATTGTGTTAATGGAATTTGTTTGGGTGTGTACGTGCCATGTAGGTGACACGACTAAAATGTGGAGGATTTGTAATTGGCCTTCATATGTGCCATAACATAAGTGATGGCTTTGGAATGGCTCATTTCATCAAAGCTGTGGGTGACATCGCACGTGGCGAAGCACTACTGACCATATCTCCTTTATGGAACAGAGAGATGCTAACTATGTGTTACCCACCCCAAATCACGCACACACATTTAGCATACGAGCCACTTCGTGATGGTGATCCTACCAATGATATAATGCAATCCACTACGCCTGACACCATGGTAGGCCAATACTTTCTCTTTGGGCCAAGAGAGATATCTGCTATGAGAAACCATGTTCCTGTACACCTTAGGCAGTCATATACTACGTTCGAATTAATAGCTGCGGCGGTATGGAAATGCCGCACCGCTGCATTGGGTTATTCTCTCGACCAACATGTGCGTCTCATGTTCACCTTAAACTCTCGTGGCAACTGGAAACGCAACCCACCAATCCCACAAGGTTACTACGGTTGTTGTCTCGTCTTTCCTGTTGCAGAAACAACGGTGGCTGACTTGTGCGGAAACCCTCTAGGGTATGCACTTGACCTTGTTCGTAAGGCCAAATTGGAGGTGACAGATGAATACGTTAAATCAACTGTGGACTTTCTAGCATCACGCAAGTGGCCATCTCTTGTTGTTGATCGAACATACATTGTATCAGACATAACATCCGTTGGAGATGACAAATTAGACTTTGGGTGGGGGAAGCGTATGGGTGGTGGCATACCAATGGCTGGAGACATCATGTCCAGGCTAATAAGCTATTTTACCAAGTGCAAGAATGCTGATGGTGAGGACTGTATTGTAGTGCCAATGTACTTGCCAAGCATAACCATGGATAGATTCGCAGCAGAGATCTCTGTTTGGTCAATGAAACAAGGAAGTAAATTCATTGTCAGCGCACTTTAGATGCATAAGGCATGCGAGGTTGCCAATGGTTATAAAAAATAGCAAATAATGTTTCATGCTATTTGAAATCAATAATAATGTCGGTCTTTAATTTATATGTATGGGTACATCTTGCATGATGTATGTAACACATGGGTATGAATGTGGAGTCATGAATAAAAGAAATTATCCATCTTCTATCACACATGCAGACCTCATGTTTTCATATTGCAAATGTGGTTGCCCTTATTTGTTGTTCATGTATCTATAGGAGCAATATAGGTCAAAATACGGCCATACCAAGGCATCAGCAATGTGAAAATATAAGGTGATATTAAGGCTTACTATGGTCAGTCTCAAACATAGAGCATTTAAGGGCACATATAGTGTATATAAAATCTACTCCATCCGTTTTATATTATAATATGTTTTGATTTTTTTCCTAGTTAAACTTATTTATGTTTGATTAAGTTTATTGAAAAATCTAGCAACATCTATAACACCAAATTAGTTTCGTTAAATCTAGCATTGAATATATTTTGATAGTATGCTTGTTTTGTGTTAGAAACATTTCTATATTTTCTATTAACTTGATCAAACTTAAAGAAGTTTGACTTAATAAAAAGTCAAAATGTCTTACAATACGAAATAGATAGAGTAGGTCTTTAAGCAATAAAATATTCTTTGTAGATTGGACACAAACATTATGAGAATGGGTTAACTCACAAACATATATCTCTAAAAACCAGTAAATTGGTAGGAGACCGATCTTTAAGCCAAAAAAAAATACAATACTTTTCAGCATACTAGGAGTAGTACGTACATTATCCAATAGTAAGTTTCATTTTTTCCTAATTGCCGAACCTACCTTAGTACCAATGGAAGGTATTACGGTATCAACAATGCATATAAAAACAGTCCTTATGATATCATAAAGTCATCCATATATATCGTGAGGGTAGTCTATGTAGAATACAATTAGGCTAGAACTGCATTCTTTATGGGACTGCTATTTAGAAACAAAAAATTTGCTCAAAGTTCACATGTAGTAACCCATTTAGTTAACTCATTTATTTGTACCCTTGGATAATTAACACGAACCATTCATATATTCAGCCATTCAATCATTCAACAGAAAACAACACATGCTAAGAGATAAAATAGATTTTTAAGGCTCCTTTTGGTATCATGGTGGATTATAATAATCTTGTTTGGTGCAATATGATATATTAATTATCAAACTCCGTACTTCGACCTATTTGTAAGCTTCCATTTACATGGAATTTAAAAATAAGCACATCATAGAATAGCACAACCAAAAACTTAGCCTTAAAAGACCTTAGTTAACGAAACTTCTATGCCTAGTTTACGATTGAAATTGTTAGAAACCTTAATATCTCCAAATAATGGAAGGAAACCTCGACAAACTATCACATGTTTACCCACATTATTCTAGTTAAGGTACAACATGGACCGCTCTAAGAAGGGGTTAAGGTACAACATGTAACCTTGGGATGAAATCATGTGCATAACCAAGTGTCACTCAAATCTTTGTAACATTGAAAGGTTGTGTTGCTTGCATGGCCTGGCCAATATTGTGGAAAGATAGACTCCTATTGTCTTTTCCAAAGATCAACAGAAGAAATTTAGAAATCTCCAATGAATAGGAGGACAAGAGCAATAGGCTGCTTTGTTGGTTTGTTGGGGAAGAAGATAAGGCCTTAGAGAGGACAAATAGGTAAAGTTGGAGTGGACTAGACTACCACTTGGTGGTATGGTGCTCTAGATTTCTTATTGTTGCTTTTGCATCAAAAGAGTGGTTGGAAGTCCTGTCAACTCACTACTACAAAACAATTTTTCATAGCACTTCCCTTTTATTTTTTCCAGGCGGACTAAAAATAATGCCACCAGTGAAAATCACATTTATTATTACCGCCAGTGAAAAATAATGCCACATGTGCCCATTCTCTGGTCCTTTGGTGGTATGTGGTCATCTATGTGAATTTGATTTTGTTACATACAAGCTATTTCTTGTAATGTGTCAGTTGATCTATAGTTCTGTACTCTCTTCATCCTAAAATTTATCTACCTTTATCTGTAAGCTATACTATGGAAAGGAGGGAGTATTGATTTATGGTTGAATTATCTTCTTTAGAAATAGCATGCATTGGTGCGGTAGCCAACAGAGCTTAATGATGCCAGCCATTTAGAGGAGACAACAATAGCAAGAGGTCGGTGAAGGGTGCCCGACATATGTGTCTATATATATATGTATATATGTATATATATGTATATATATATATATGTATATATATATATATATATGTATATATATATGTATATATATATATATATGTATATATATATATGTATATATATATATATATGTATATATACATATGTGTATATATATATATGTATATATACATATGTGTATATATATATATGTATATATACATATATATATATATGGGGGGAATGGTTAGGGATATTCATCCATGATTTAGCTAGAATCATGAAGAAAAAACCATACTAGTCATTTTTTTTCACAATTAACAGGGAATATGTTAATGTCTAGCTAAGCTAAATAATTCTAGATGGAAACATGAAACGACAACTTAATCGTTTTCCGTTAGTATGTTTTCCGAACTGTTAAACGGTATATTTTGTGTAAAAACTTTTCATGTAAAAGTTTCTTTTAAAAAATTAAACAAATCCATTCTTCAAGTTTATAGAACTTATTACTTAATTAATCAAATATAAGGTTTTAGTATTCATGCCACTAAATAGTTAAGCCAAATGGCTCCTTCGAATGCAACCTGAGGATGTGTTATTTTCTCCCCTTTAATTCCCAACTTATACTCCCTGTTTTCTATGGGCACGCTTCCCGAACTGTTAAATGATGTGTATTTTTGTGAAACTTTTCTATAGGAAAGTTGATTTAAAAATTATATTGATCTATTGTTCAATTTTTTTAAACTAATACTTAATTAATTGTGACTAGTTTTATACAGTTCAAAAGAAACCATGAATAAACATTCATAGTAGAGATAAAAGGTGATAAAAGGTGGTGAGCAAGTGATCATTGTTGGTCGTAGGAGCGAGAGAGCGGATAAGTGGTCAATAATTAGGTGGGAGCATGCTGGGAACGAATTAAAGCTTACAGGAGTTGAAGTAATTTGATACAATAGCAATGACGGCCAAGAATTAGGCCTCAAATACCCTCGAGTTGGCCCTTGCCCTTTTAACTAGAGAACTTTTACGGTACCGTAAGTATATACTATCAGTATCAGTATATGATAGGGTAGATTTGGTATTTGTTAAAAATCTGAAAAGGTTGTTTAGTCATTTAAAATAGAGATTTATTTCCATAGGATGAATTTTAAATCCTTTGGTTGTTTTTTACTGGATCTCGTCATCCGCATAATTTGAGCAATTTTTGCTTTGTAATTTGAGCTTGTAACAGCTGTTTATTTCAGCCCAACTCTATGCTGCATTGCTCCAAAAAATTGTGCTGTTAAATTGGATTCTCTAATATATCGTCTAAAGTTCGAAACGATGTTAATGGTTTTGGAGTCTGAACATTCTTCTTTCAAGGCCTTCTCTGGAAGACTGGAACTTGGGAGTTGACTTAGATAGTAGTCACAGAATTGTTCATACATTAGTTATATTGGCATGTAACCATGCTAATTACGTACATTAGTTATGCTAATTATGCTGCTCTGCCGCTGCCACCTGCCACCGCTAGTCTGCCGCTGCCCTGGTCCTCGAACGCGCCGATGATGCCGATGACGAAGGCCGTGGAGAAGGACTGCATCGCCGTGCTGTTGGACACCCTGTGGAACTGGAGCGGCGTCAGGAAGAGGCGTTCGAATCGATTTTTCAGCGCCTTGAAGATTTGGGGATTTTTGGAAGAACTAGGTTTTGGGTGAAGAAAAGGTGAGGGAAATCGAATCGATTCCCGATGGCGGCGGCGCCGATTGTGGTTGTTGACGGCCGCGCAGCGCGGCGTGCTCGCAGAGGCAGTAAGCGACGGCGGTCGCCCATGCGCGCGGCTTCGAGAAAAATTCGCTTTGACTAGGCGCAAAAGGCCGGATCTGACTAGGTGAGAAACGCGAATTTACAAAATTACTCCTCACGCAAATAGATAAAAAGACAAAAATGCCCTATTCAATTTATACTGCAGAATAATTGGGAGGAAGATCAGATGAATTTACATCGTTAGATCAAATATACTGGTAGTATATACTTCAAATAGAATGTACCGTAAAAGTCCTAAACTATTTGTACACGAATCTTAGACAACCATAGCCCACTGATTGGTGGTCCCCTGCTGTTCAACATATGTAGATATATATCTTTGGATATATCATGCTCCAAGCACATGCCATACATAATTATATCTGTAATGATTCACGTTTAGACCAACTGGCCCTCTCCAGTCTCCACATACAAGTTCATGATCTCATTCCCTACACAAAGATCAGAAAGAGAGGGAGAGATCAGAAGCCATTTGTTGGCAGTACTAAGGCCCAAGCAGACAGTGTCCCCCACCCTTGAGTAAATAAAAAGAAGATTCTTGGGGTACAACTCAAGTTAACACATACATGAATGAACATCATAATACCTGACCGGTTAAATCACCAACAGTGATGAGTGAGATGGATGATATTAACATCACCAGTGTCTACACCCTTTCTACTTTCCAGTGTTGGATATAAATCTTTGTTTCTACCATTCACACACAAGGGTGGGTAAAAATCGCGGCGAAATACAAAGTGCAAATGTGCACTTTGCAGGGGCTTCATAATGGGCGCGTGCGCGCTAGCTGCCTAACCAGCGCAGCCGCGCACGCCCCCTTCTTAGGCCTCTCCTCCTAAACGCTAATAATGCCAATTAGCATTGATGATGTTAATTATTGCTAATAATAATTGTTAGTTTTAGTTTTTTAAAAAAATCATAATTAGAACTTTTCACTCAAATTTGAAAACTTTCAACTCGGATTTGAAACTTTCAACCCAGATTTGAAAACTTTCGACTCACATTTGAAAACTTTTAACTTGCTATTTGAAACTTTCAAGTCAAGATTTGAAAACTTTCAACTCAGATTTAAAAAAACTTTTAACTAAAGATTTAAAAACTTTCAACTCATATTCAAAAAAAATTAACTCAAATCTTAAAAACTTTCAACTAAAATTGAAAATGAAATATTCAACATCTAAATAAAAAAATCACGAAAAAAGGGCAAAAGAAAACTTAAAAAAACGCGTGGACATCGCTTTTCCAGTAAAAAAAATAACTTACAACGTGGATGCCGTTCGCTTCATGCATGCGCCAAGTTATGTGGGGCGTGGGCCTCGTGGGCCTAAAACACGCGCCGCCAACGCGCGCGCAAATTAGCTCTCGCGCACTTTGCATACTTGGCATGATATATTTAGGGCCCTTTGACTCGCAGGATTGAGAAAACGTAGGAATAGAAAAAATGTAGGATTTTGATAGGAATGTAAGTGTAAAACAAAGGAATGTAAAACGCATAAAAAACACAGGAATGACCGTTTGACTGAACCGTTAGGAAAACACGGGAATTGGATGAGAGAGATAGACTCAAGGAAAGTTACCAAGAGGTTGAAGCTCTTGCTAAATTTCCTCCAAAATCTCTATAGGATTGTCCATTCCATAGAAATTTCATTCAATCCTTTGTTTCAAATGGCTTTATAGGAAATTTTTCCATAGGACTGAAATCCTCTAAAATTCCTATGTTTTTCCTCCAAATCGAAGGGGCCCAGTTTGTCGTCGTTTTTAACCACACATAATGTACCAACTCTACTAAAATTTGATAGTTCCAAAAGTTCTCCCACAAAAAAACTATTGAAATTTGGTACTGTTAAAAACCAAACATATTAAATGCTACCAAAATTTTGTAATGTCAAAATCTAGACAGATTTTAGTAAGATTGCTCGACAAACTGAACAATTCCTTAGTTACACCACAGAAGGTATGGGCCAAGAAGTAGACTTTTTTTTAAGAAGGGGAGTAGCTGTTTATCCGAGTGGCAAAACTTCAGGATAAAAATCCAAAGGCTTGTTTACAATTTACAGATGAGTTGAACAGATATCAGTCAAAGCCACTCAAATAAGCTGGGCCTACTAGCCCAACATTTCCTCTCTTTCAGTTACACTTGGGAGTACTACTCTATAGGCCTAAATGTCATTTAGAGCAAGTTTAATAGTATAGCCCACTACTAGTTTTAATTCATCTATAGCCAATCTAATAGCCAATTCATATAATAGTTACTTATTATACTATGAATATATGGTCCCACCTGTCATAAACACATTGCGTCTTGGAGTCCGTGTTGCAGCTGGCTACAGATCTGTAGCCCTCTGCTTTTCTCTCTAATCATTTATCTCATTAAAATATATTTATAGCTGGCTAATAGTTTACTATCGTACCTGAGACAGCGTATCCAGAACCATTTTGGCTGGGCTCCAGAAAGATAATCTCTCGGTTCTATTGGCAAGCAGTGCAGGATTGTAGCTCATTAATGCCCTTGTCTCCTATTCAGCGGCCAGCTACTCCACCCCTACGAGGTAGCCACTCCCTGACAACAATTTCATCAACTAGTAGTAACCCTAGTAGAGAGAAAAAGCACCAACCCATGTCTTCCTTTTCTGCCTTCCATAGACACAAGAATGCTCGGACGTGATGATTGGGCTCCATTATTTGGTCAGCACTGTGTGGGCTCTCATGTTTGTACTGCCCTACCTTGGCTTCACTGATGGCTGCTTGTAAAAGAAAAATGTCCCTTTGTTTCCTTCTGAACAAGAGGATTCTTTTAACCTTTTCTAGTGAGTAAGAAAAGTAAAAGGAGAGGATGAAGAGAAGCTGCTCTGAATTAATCAGATGCTAGCTAGAAAGAAGAAAAGTCTGCACAAAAGCATTCAAACTAAGTTATTACTTCTACTCCTTTCTCTATCCCAAAAGAAGAAAAGTATAGTATAGTTTTTAATGTGAAAGAGATAGATAATGATCTAATCAACTTGAGTTCTTATTCCATCCGTCCCAAAATAAATATTACTCCCCCGTTATCACATATATAGTTATAAGATTCAAATTTTATACACTATATAAGTATATATCAAAGACAACTATTCCAATGCATTGGAATCCAAGCATTTTCAACCAATTAGGTTCTTCTAAGGAGAATACAAATAATTCAGAATTTAAAAATTGAGCACTGAGATGACTGAAAGTGGATCTTTTTCTTTGGTAAATAACTTAGAAATGTTTATATTTAAGATTGGATGGAGTAGCTTAATACTTTAATCTACATGGTTTCTTACCATATTAAGGCACGTACCAAGGACCCATCAATTGGCTGATTATAATCTATAACGGCTTATGTGCGATATATCTTTAGTGACTTAAAAATCTAATGCTGAAAAAGAAACTAAGTAAAGGAAATACTGTAAAATCAGCACAAAATTAATTTTCATAGGCTTATTCTCGGTAAGCAAACGATAATGCTGCAAAACAAAAAACATGTGACAGTACTCTCTCTGGACATGTCATATGCAGGAAATCTGCGTCTGATTCATGTATACCCCGGTAAGGAGCGCGCTCACACAAGTGGCAGTTGCGCGCGTACACTGCAGAGAGCGCGCGGCTGCGGACTGTGCGTGCGTGCGGTTGGCTGCCGCGCCGCGCCGCCGGTTTCTGACGGACGGCGCCGTGTCCTCCTCGTCGCTGCGGCAGCAACTACTACTGCCTCTCACAGATCGCCTGCTTCTGTCTCACACATCACATGGCCCTCTCGACACGGCGACGTGTAGGCCTGGAGCTCCACCTGATCCCCTTGTGCTGGTTGCTGCCACACGGATATGATCTGCTCCTCCTCCTCTGCTACCCTGCCCTTTTTTCTTCTCCATGCCTTGCACTGTTGCTTCCCCAACTGCTCCAACCATTCTCGGGATTGGAGGTAGTAGTACTGGAATCTCCTTTTGTGTGGGGTTTACAGCCTTACGGTTTTCCTTCTTTTTTGAGACACACCCTTTGACAGTAACAGTTAAAAGAGCAATTGGATGCAGCACTGCACTGTAGTTGTCCTGGTTATCCATTTTATTTTTAAGCTACTATTTACATTTACAAGTATGTAAATTTTAATAAATCAGACTCATATAATTAGAAATAGACTGAGAGCCCATACTTAACGAGTCATACCATATAATTAGGGAGAAATGGTGGTTACTTTTCACGTATGGACGCGCTGTGTGTGTTGGGATGACAGGATGAAAGGAGAATGATTCTGTTTTTAGGACAGTAGAGATATCCTGCAATAGTGAAAGATGCACAAACTTTTATCTGGAGGTCCTCAACTATGGAAGGATCCACATGAGCTTAGCTGTTTAGCCAAATCTCTGCTGATTCATATGCACCATTTCTGTACACACGCAGCACAGTAGCAAAGGTGCCGTGCAAAGTGTCCAAAATATAATCACCACCTGATATGTGTGCCCGCCGACTCGCATTGATCACTTGCCGACCCAGCTTTCTTTAGAACCAAGCAAGCAACACAAGGGGTCGCGAGAACGAACAAAAAGTGAAAAAAAAAAAAGAAAAGAAGCTCATCACTACTCGCAGAGAGAAGCAACAATGGGATTACTGAGTACTGACATGGATTAGCCGTGTCTCCCCAAAGAGAAAAAAAGTTAGACGAGGTTAATCAAGTGGCCATCGATCACCACGGTCTCTCTCTTTCTCTCGCTCAGCGATGATGCTCTTGGTCCGGACCAAAATACAGCAGCAGCAGCAGCAGTACAAAGCTCTGACGCTCGGGTCCCACATCCGTCAGACCATCCGTCCGTCCGTCCAAGATTCAGGAGACGAAGCCCATCCGTTGGATGGACCAAAAGATGCCGCGGTCGATGCATATGTAAGGATGCAGATGCAGGCAGCATGCTGTCGTCGACCGACCCGATCGATCGATCGATCTGTCTCTACTGCAGCACGACATCGCCGTCTCACAGGGCACTGGAAATGATGGGTCGCCTGCCTGACCTCTCTACACAAATCTTAAGCCTAGAGACAGACACTGATATAATAATAAATAGAGATTGACCGGGATTTTGGTGCTGTTTGTTAATGGTGACCATCCGACAAAATGCTCTATCACCGTCCTCTGCGTCCTCGCTCTGCACCGACTGATTCACCACACTTCACGTTCCACCTCACCGGAGGGTAAATACAGCAATCACCGTTCCACACATTTCGTACAATTTTGCTTGTACAAAAGCTGATCAATTTCGTGCTCAAATTAATAGTACAAACCCAGCCGAAAAGCGCTCACAAAGCCAAACAAACACTCAATGTAGCAGCAGCAGCAGCAGCAATCAGCATGAGTGCCCACCATTGCTTTTTTTTTTTTTTGGTGCCGTCTTCTCCGTGTTGTTCGTGGCACAACAGGACATGATCGATCGGTCAAAGGGTGAGGGGAGAACGAGACGACGGTGCATAAAAATCAAATGGAATGGAAGCGAGAAGGGAGAGAGGAGAGGAGCATGCATGCATCGTTACTCCAGTACGCTGCGTACAGCGGCCGGCCGCGCCACGATCTCGCTGTCTGCTGCTGCTGCTTCCAACTGCTCTCTGCTCTGCTCTGCTTCTGCTCCTCTCTTCCTCTCTAAAAAGCGTCGCCCCAACCAACCTGCCCCGTCCTAGCTAAAGCCATAGCAGTAGGCGGGCTACGCATCATCTCCCGATTTGGCAACACCCATATTGCTGCAGTGCAGTTGCAGTTGTTGCGGTTGCAGTGCAAGAGGGAGAAGAGGAGTTTCTTGGTGAGGGAGAGGGAGAGATGAGGGACGTGGTGGTGGCGGTTGGCGGCGGGACGAAGGCGGCGAGCAGGCAGCAGGGGCAGGGCGGGGTGACGTTGGCGGCGGCGGCGGCGGGGTCGGGGTCGGGGTCGGCGGCGTCGCCATGCGCGGCGTGCAAGCTGCTGCGGCGGCGGTGCGCGGCGGGGTGCGTGTTCGCGCCCTACTTCCCGCCGGGCGAGCCGCACAAGTTCGCCAACGTCCACAAGGTCTTCGGCGCCAGCAATGTCAGCAAGCTCCTCCAGGTATACCGCACGATCGCTGCTTCTTCTCTCAATCTATCGTCTTCTCTCCCTAGCTGCCATGCCATGACATGCCTTGCCTTGCCTCCTCGTGTCGTGTGTACGCACGTCTCACGAGCCCTCAATTCCCTCTGTTTCCGTCTACAATCTCTGTACCGCCTTCTTTCTCTGTATCATCGCGCTCATGCACACACAGACACAGTCGAGTTACTACCAGTTCTTGGATCTTTTTTTCCTTTTCAGTTCCGTGCCAATTCATTAGAAAGATGTGATGTTTCTTGCCATTGTTTAGCCCACAGTTTGTCAAATGTGTAGTAGTGCACAAAATTGATATCTTGTTTCGCCAGAAATGGATTGCTTATTTTTAACATATATGGTTAAGAAAGTTTCCCCGGGCCATAACGACGATGCTAGTACTAGGGATAATATTGGTTTAGTGGTTTCGTTTGATTACGGTGTTTTCCCAACATGTAGCCTGCAATTCTCAGGAAAAAAAAATTGAACGAAGGCCTGATAATCTCAGAATGATATACTGTATTAGATGGTGTAATAGTAGATTCTGAATACACCGAGATTTTGACAAATTCGGCAACTATATTTTCTGTTTACTAGCAGCCAGCCTAAATTCATTTCCTGGGTATGCCAAGTTCAGAATTGAACTTTCAGAATTTTGCACTTGTTCTTCAGTTTTCACCGTGAGTGGCACATGTACTGGGCATGTGCATCAAAATAAACATGGCAAAGATCCTACTTTCACTGCCCACTGGGTCCTCATCCATGCAGCAACCCAAAGCATTTCTTATGTGCTAAAGATCACCTAGCCAAAGAAAAGAAAAAGAAAAGATTGCTTTTTTTTTTGTGAGCAAGTTCGAGTACTGCAGTGTGTTGTAGTACTAATTAAATCGACAGAGACCTCAGCATAGTGATCTCCAAACTGAACCCTCCCCCATGTGTCGAGCCGCCTGAAACAGTAGCCCATCAGTGGTGGTATACGGCCTCGTCCTCACAGTCTCAGCAGCCTTGGGCAGTCACCTTCACACAAGGCTCGCACATGCTGCGTAAAAAGAAAAAGAAAAAAAGCTTTCGGCTGCACCAAACATGCAAAAATGTCCCTAAAAATCCTTCCTTCCATTCCCTTTTCTTGGAACCAGAGAGACACCCCCAAATCGCCACCATCTTTTCTCAATTTCTTCTCCTTGGCCCTAGCCTCCTAGTAGCCTTGTCACAATGTCACTGGCTCACTGTGTGTGTGCTTGCACGATTGTCAGGTGGGAATGGACGTTTCTTCTACCTTGTCATGTACTGGTGCCTGCACAAAACCAGATCATTCAGATGTGACTTGACTGAAACTCTGCTGCTATGACAATCATATGTCTGAAACTTTGGGATTGTGGTGGAATGCAGGAGATACCGGTGCAGCACAGGGGGGACGCCGTGAGCAGCCTGGTGTACGAGGCGAACGCGCGGGTGAGGGACCCGATCTACGGCTGCGTCGGCGCCATCTCGTCGCTGCAGCAGCAGGTGGAGGCGCTGCAGGCGCAGCTGGCGCTGGCGCAGGCGGAGATGGTCAGGCTGAGGATGAGCAACGACTACATCGGCCGCCGCCTCCGGGCGCGCGGCTGCGGCGGCGGCGGCGGAGGCGGAGGCGGGAGCACCACCACCACCACCGGCTCGCCGTCGTCCATGTCGTCGCCGGCCAAGACGGCGGAGCCGGAGCCGCTCTGCAAGCCCACGCCGGAGCTGGACATGGTGGTGGACCAGCCGGACTTCGGCTTCTGGTCCTACTAGGGCTTTGATCAAGGTAGTACTACTAGCTGATTGTAGCTGTGATGATGATCAGGTGATGTTTTTGGAGTTAAGTGACAGATGGTATGGTATGGTATGGTATAGTAGTAGTTCATAGTAGAGTCAAGCGAGTAAAGTATATGGCAATGTGTGCGCAGTAGCAGCGTGACACTGGGAGGGAGGTGAACATAGGCAGAGAGGCCTCCTCCTAAACCTTCTTCTACTGGGATATATCAGGGGCTTTTTTTTTGGCTGTCCTTCTATGAGAAGGTAGAACACTGTTACAGACATTGGGTGTGCATTCACTGAGTTGTGTTATCCATTGCAAGAAACTTTGTTGCTCGTGACAATTTACTTGGTTGAAATAGCTGAACTATGCTGTGGGAAATGCAGATGGTGCTATCTATGTTTGTACAAATGTTCTTTGATTCTGGGCTTGTTTTATGACATGTGACCCATTAGCAGAGATGTAAAATGCTTTAGTTTGATTAAGTAGATATCAGACTAATATTGCAACTTAAGGTTGCCATGAGGCTTAAATACTTTCACGATTGTATCTGCAATTTTACAAGGCTGGCTCCCATGGATACTATGGGCAATGAATTGCTACCCATTTTTTACAAATACATAAATAAAACAGACACCCTGATGTCGGACAGACCCCATCACTTCATAACCTAATGCAGGTTCATATGACCCAAAAATTGCAGCTGCATATTGGACGCCACACCTTTAGATGCAATAAGTTAATCCAATCGAATAACTTCACATTATCTGCAGTTCTTACAAGAAGTTAGCATAATTTGTCATGATAAAAATTTCTCAGCATATGAATCATGGATGGTGAAACACTTTATTTTTGTAAGAAACCTTACCAGAAGCGGGACCAATGTGAAGCATATGCTCTATGGTAAGCTTCGGTTCAGCAAGCCTTGGAAAGAGAGGTAAAGATCTTTGTTGTCTGGACCAAAGATCTCTTCAGCCTTCTTGAGAGTATCCTGGTTCAGATGTAAATATGCTATTGTAATCATGTAATGACATAATGTAATCATGTCTCATAAACTAGCCAACAGATGCAAGTGTGGTACCTCTCTTGATTGCTTATGAGCATTGAGTTCCTTGATGTTGGCTAAGAATGCTCCAAATTGTTCGTATGATAGGCGGCTCCTGGAATTATAATAGAGTTCTATCAATGATAATACATCTATCTTGGTTTCGATTTAAAATTTGAAGCGCAAGATATCAACAGACCTGGCCTGACGGAAAAATTCTTTTCCATCAATACGAGGAGTGCGACCTGAAAACCCAAGCATTATATTACATTCCATACAATAGCTTCAGAAAACATATACCTTCAGGGTTCAGGATAAATGAAACCTGGGTTGGGACGTCCCCTTGGAGGTGAGTTAGCTGCTGACGATTGCTTGCTTGAGGGGTACCATGGTGTCATGGACATGTATCCTTCAATTCGAGTTTTTGATGGTGAAGTAGTTCCAGACATCAATTTTGGTGTTGCTGTTGTAGACATTCTTCTCGGAGAAGCAGAAGTTGACATAATTTTTGGTGTAGCTTCTGGAGTAAGGCGGGGGGTGATGTGTGATGAGAGGGCATACTTCTGTATTGGAGGCTTTGACACTGTACCTAAGAGAATTAGAGAAAATTCAGTGCATGGAAACTTATGTTGCCAGAATAATTCAACAAAATCAAAACAAACAATGAGCGAAAAGCTAATAATACCTTCTTGGACTGTGCTTCCAACATCCAGAGAGGTGCTCAGTAGATTTGTTGTAGTGTGGGTGATAGAATCTCCATCTGCAATGTTCAATGAAAATATTAGTGAGAGATTGGTGCCGGACATTTTCTATGACAAATATATGAAGGGCATTCGAATAGGGCAAAACCTCCACAAGATGATGCTTTTGATGATATTGACTGATCACATGTGGTAATGTCAACCGTTTCTTGTGGCTGCTTGGGAGGATTCAGCAGAGAATCAAGCGCAAAGAACAAACATTACTACAAGCTAGAGAAGAAATAATAAAAATGGACCAATAATTGCTCATAGTCCATTATGGGATCCATTGGATGAGTAGATGAACTCACCGATGGACTATCATCACGTAGTGACTGCATCAGATGCCTCTTGAAGGACTCCAGCTGATAGAAGCAAAGCAAAGGAAAGAAAAAAACAGAATTCAGAGTGTTGTAGAGGTTAGATATTAGAAAAGACAGACTGATAAGCTGAACAAACATCTTACTCATTGCTTAAACAGCTCAAAAGAAAGTGAAAAGAAGAACAGCGCCTCATTTTTTTCAGTCCTAAAGGAGTTCTTGCATCCCACAGTGGGATTACCACTATTTTTGTGATCAACTATCCAGGGATCAACATGGATGTGGGATTGGACGGGCAGTATTCATTTCAGAAGAAAAATAACCAGCTGATGGACAATCTTTACTTGCCTTTACATTGGCTGCAATCAGCAAAATGACCCTTCTTCGCTATCGTTATAAATGGCATTAAACATCTAACGAACTCCATACTTACTCCCTAACTCACTCCAATTTGCAGCATAAAAGCGCACTTTCCCCTGCTTCTCCTAAAATTAGGCAGCATTCGTTTGGAGGACATTGAGGGAGAAAGCATCTCGTTTTCTGCACGCACGCTTCCCAAGCTATTAAACGGTGTGTTTTTTGCAAAAAATTTCTATAGGAAAGTTGCTTTAAAAAATCATATTAATCCATTTTTTAAATTTAAAATAGTTAATACTCAATTAATCACGAGCTAATGGCTCACCTCGTTTTGCGTATCTACCCAATCTCCTCAATCCCCTTCTCCTCAAACACACCCTTAATCTTCATAGATAGTTCAATTAGAGGCGTCTAGTCAAAGGTGGACCATCTAATAATACACCGACAGACATCTACAAGCAAGCATTCGAACAATGAAGAAGATCAAATAAATCACCTTCTGCAGGTCCCGCGCCAGCTTCTTGGACGTCTGCGCCAACGAGTCCCGCTCCTTGCTCAGCTTAATCTGCATCCACAAAAGCAGACACCGAAATCAAATCAACAAATCGAGGGGAAATAAAAAAACATTAACACAAGAGAGCCGCGGTGGCGCCACCGACGTTATCCTCGAGCGCGGCGCGGAGCCTGGAGTTGGTCTCCTGCAGGGCGCGGTCGAGCAGCGCGACGCGCTCCCGCAGCTCCCCGTTCTCGCGGTCCTTGTCCGCGGCGGACTCCCTCAGCCGCGCCGCCTCCCGCTCCAGCCCGGTCACCCGCCCTGCCACGGCCAGCGCCGTGATGCGCCGCGCAAGATCCAGCTGCTCGTACGGGTCCCGCGGCATCACCGCCAGGACCTCGTCCGGCAGCGCGAACTCCCCCTCCGCCAGTGGCATCGCCGCCGCCGCCGCCGCCGCCGCGCCCGCGCGAGATCTCGCCCGCTCTCTGCTTGGGTTTCGCCGCCTTCGGAAGAAGGGGAGGGGAGAGGAGAGGAGAGCGCGGAGAAGGGACCACGCGACGCCGCGGAGCGCTTGGAGATTTTCGGATTTGAAATGGGGGGAGAGGGAGAGGCGGATGGGGTTGGGGGGGACAGTGCAGAGCGGCTCGGCGGCCGAAGCGAGGTTTGAAATTGTTTTTGGGGGAGAGGGCGGCCGCGTTGGCCTCGTTTCTGTTGTTGAGTGGGCGCGCGCCCAAAGTAGCAATTGTTTGAAACGACCCGCCTTGTTTCCAAGCAAACCCCCTCTAAAATAGTAGTACTTGGGTGTGTTTAGTTCACACCAAAATTAGAAGTTTGGATAAAATTAGAATGATGTGATGGAAAAGTTGAAAATTCATGTGTGTAGGAAAGTTTTAATACGATGGAAAAGTTGAAAGTTTGAAGAAAAACTTGGCCTTGCTTGGAGCAAAATTGGAAACGTTTTTTCTTCGCTCCTAAGGAGTACTTAGGCTGAGTTTAGTTCCAAACTTTTTTTCAAACTTCCAACTTTTTCATCACATCAAAACTTTCCTACACACATAGGGGCTGTTTGGTTGATGGTCATAAGTTGCCACACTTGAGGTTAGGCAAGTTTGACCATGTTAGGTGAGTGTTTGGTTGGCTCCCATAAGTGTGGCAAGATTCCTCTTTTGTAATCTAGGTCTCACATGTAACTGACTCTGAAAAGTGTAGCATGGTTTTATTTTGTTGGCTAGAGTGTGGCTTAGATTTTGAAGGCCTCACCTTTGGCAAGTTTAGCTAAGAGAAGTATGGTGAACCTAGGCAACGTTAGTATGTGAACCAAACAGCCCCATAAACTTCCAACTTTTCCATCACATCGTTCCAATTTCAACCAAACTTTCAATTTTGACATGAACTAAACACACCCTTACTACGTACACTATGGATGTGTTTAGTTCCTGAAAAAAGTTGGAAGTTTATATGTGTAGAAAAATTTTTATGTGATGGAAAGTTAGGAACGGGGGAAACGGCCTATAACAGATACTACACATATAATTAGAAATAGATCAAATTAACTTCAATGGACCAGGCCCATATATTTAAGAAGTGACGGTGATTATGTACTAATGCACTGAGCATGTTAGCATAAGGGGATGGAAAAAAAACAACTCCGCTTTTAAGATAGTATAGGAAAAAACCATAAATGTATAGGATTTTTAAGAATTTCTCTTCTCCCAACATATAAAAACCTAATTTAACTCCCTCCATCCTTAAAAAAAATATAAAAACCAGGTTCAGGGATGGAGGGAGTACACAGGAACGTTCTGATTTTGATTCAGATTCACCTGCTATTTTCAAGTGAAAGGATGCAAATCCCTCCTGTTGCATGCTTCCAAAACGTACATGGGATTTATGGGCCATTCGGTTCAGTTCGGTACCAAATGCAGCCAAAGCACGCCTTACACATCGAAACAATTTCCCGTGACAACATTCGACGAAAGAGAACAAAATCACAGAGCCATCGGTAAATTGTCTTGTAACAAATCCAAATCGAATATAATTTGTCAGCACAAAATTGCATTGACAAGCTACACAATTCTTTTGTAGAACACACAGGAGCGCAGCGCAAGCCTGCAATACTGCATGTTGCAGTTCCAACCTATATAGGGTACAAAAGATTTCAACAGAAAAAGCAAAATGAGATGAGCTGAAGAACATTTCTGTACAAGAATAGGCCGGGCTTGCCCATTCAGACGGTAGGGAATGTACACATGTCATGAGTAGGTACAATTCAGCAACCTTACTCAACAACGAAAAAGAAAAGAAATTAACAGATTCTGCAGCTTAACGCGGTATGTTCAGCCGACACAAGTCTGCAATGCATATTCGTCATTATCCTTTGATGGTGGAGCGGGCAACATATCAGCTTGCTTAATAACATAGGCAACTTTCGCCCAACCGCCCTCCACCAGTGTTCTTCGTCTGCAATTCCCTTCTGTTTTCCTTCCTATATTTTCTATGTTACCTGACCATTTTCATTTCGAGGTGGATCAGTGTAATCTTGACCATGATCACGGACATCTCTAAACATAGAGAAGAAAGATACTATGCCATCAGAAGCTCCGCCTCCTAGCAACCACAATAAAAGGGAACCAAATGGATTCAAGGAGCCAGAGCCTGCCGGAGCATTGCCAGGTTGCTGAGGGTTTTGATCTTGATAGTGCAGAGGATTGTTGGCCACTAACTCTGCATTTTCAATTGGTTGACCCTCTTGTTGGTTCCTGTTAGGCTCATCCGGAACCAGCAGGGCATCTGCTTCACGAGCAGCACCAAGGCCCTCATTCATTGCGCCAGGGTCCCTCATATTTACCCTTGCTATATGTAATGTTGATGTATAGATGGTTGAGGATGTGATCTGAACACCCGTTTGTTGGTGAAGGTGAGCTCGGCTTCTAATGAATCTCTGAAGGGCTGGCACCTAAAGCAACACAAGCCAAGTAAATACAATGGGGACATGGACTTTTTTTTTGTTTTGCTGTTAAACATGCATTAAATATACAATTTGTCCCCTACTTGCGTGAACCCTAATCTATTTCCTCAGTGAATTGACCAAGTTCAGGTGATCATTCCAGTTTAATAAATGAAGATGAAAGCAAGGCTAGCACTAAATCCTAAGCAGTGTTCAGAAATTAGAAATGGCCTAATATCAAAGGGGAAAATATAAAAAAAAATTGCAGGCCAAAGCAATAAACAAGCAGTAATGACTGATAAGTCCAAAATAAAGAACAGGAAATACACAGGTAAAAATGCATATTAGCATACCTCGAAGCGGTTCCAAAAATATAAAATTAGATGTTGCATGAACGCCGCGGTGGCAGAAAAGGCCAGGTAGGAGAAGCCTGATAAATACAGAAATATGCAAGTCATATATCGATAGGATATTCCAGTAGTTTCTTGCCAATATAGGTCACCAAAAAGACATATGTAGTCATACCATATGTGTACGAGAAGAAGTAAATGTGGAAAACCAAGAAATACAGCAAGAAAAAGCGCGGGAAGAACTGCATTGATATAGATGTCCTCACACTGCAAAGGACACAAAATTCAGTAAATTCAGACAGACCGAATTTGCTATGCATGACAACAATTCTGATAATGCATGCTTGAAAGTTGCAAATGTTAAATGCACCTATATTATGCTCAAGTGCCTACTATTCTAATCTAATTGCTCTCTCATATGACTAAACCCTGTTTGTTTCCTCATAATTTCACATGAATAAGTTAGTAGGACAGACGCTTCACAGCACAGAAATCTCACATGATTAAAATAGTATTTCCTCGAAATAGTAAAGCATTCCAGCAATATGTATATGGAAACAGTACCTGATCATCGTAAATAGCTCACACAACCATACAAGAGTCAAAACTAGAAATGCAAGCAACTGATCATCATAGAACTCAAATAGAAAAAAGAGGATCCCAATCATTATCTGCAATGATCACAACAAAGAAATTAGTAAGATATGAGAAATCTGTTGAGTAGATACATCTAAACAGCCACAAAATTTTCAGCTCATTAAGGAAAAAAAATATCATACCGGAACAAAAACCAATGATTCGATAACATGGACAAATATCAGTTGAAATGTGGGGAGTTGGTGGCGTGCATGATGTTGAAGCTGCACTGAAATTTTCAATGAAGAAAACAAAATATTATTTATTACCATAAGATAATATCATAATAACAAGTTGAGCATCTAGCAGGCCAAGAAACAACGTAAAGCAATAAGCACAAACCTGTGAACCTAAGCATGCGGGATTGCGTCTCTCTCAGGGTAAATGAAACAGACATGGTGGTTGTGAAAAAAACAAAGAGTGACATTAAAAGTACACCACATTTCGTCACAAAATAATCTGCACCACAAAAGTTGCAATAGATAAGATTTAAATACGCAGAAATGAAAATAAGATATGAAAGGCAACAAAATAGAATTATCAGGTGGCATGTAAGCTGTTGGAATCATCTGGTACAAATTTATAAAGCATTAAAACCACTAATAGCTGAACACATTATAAAAGTGCAGTCATTCAGGTGAACATATTTGGGATGGCAAATTTTGTAAAATCAGCACTATACAAACCTCCAAATCTTGTTGGACCTGCTGGTGGTTCATGTCCGTAACTGAGATCATAAAGCTCCTTTGTTTGAAAGTTGTATAAATAGCCTGCATATCAAACCAAAGTACAAAATATGTGAGCTAACTAAGTTTGCGACAGTTGCATAGAACATCCTGATAGTTAAAAGTACCAAAAGCAAAATCACATCAGAAGCATACCATGACCAGGGGAGTTCACTAAGCTGTTTGTAAGTATAGTGTCATAGCCAACAATGCTGTTTATTAAAAGCTGTTGCCACCTGAAAGGTTAAAAAAGAGAGATTGGATAGCATAAGAACATAGCGGTGGGCATGAAAGAACAGTGGAGCATTATCACATTCTGCAGATACCCACTACAGAAGCAAAATGAAAGAAGACAGAACGAATGCAAAATCTTGTTTAAGTTCTCAATATAAATGACAGATTTTTAAGTAGCAATTAGATATTCCATATTTGTAACGCTAGAATTTTTATGCAGCTCTTTGAAACTCAGTAAATGTTCCAACTATTTGGGTACAAGAGCAATATAAAACAAAGATCAATAAACAAAATGAGAAAATTCCTTGCATGCCATCCAAAGTCCTTACACGCCATCCAAAGTTTATGAGTTTGTTTCCTAATATGCCATGTCGAAATTATTGTTCCATTCACCAATGCCTAAACTTCTCTTGCCTTTTTTTTTTTTGCCATTCTCATCATCCTAATGTTAGCAAACTGTTACATGGGCGGTAAGATGACCATTGGGCCCTCCATATCTTCTTCAACTTGTCTCCTTCCTCTTCCATTCTTTCACGCCACTTCACTGCGCCTACCTCCCATGCAACTGCTCCCCCGGTTGCACATGCTTTCTCGATCTCATTGCCCCACAGCACACAACCAGGCATGGAAGGCGAGGACAGCACCACCATACCATCTGTCATGGCATCACAGCAGATGCAAGCATGTGTGGTATGCAGCAATCTGAATCCATTTTTTTTCTTCATGGGCACGGAAATGAACCCCAGTCTGCAGCAGGCGTACATACGGTGCCCGTGCTCCTCCTGGCAACCCCCCTCCCCCCCCCCCAACAAACTCTCTCTCTCTCTCTCCTCTCTTTAGACATAACAAAACAAAGCAAGCACTGGTATCTAGCCATACCACACATAGAATGGCCTTGCTAAGCTGCCAGTTCAACAGAGGTGGGAAGTGAGCTGCCAATCCACCATGCGGTTCACGCCATCATAACCTAGCCTCACTAGGTGAAGGGAGCAGTGATGTTGAGGCCCCAGCTTTCGCATCCAATTTGGGAGGAACTCTCTGAATCTATGCGCAAAGAGTAATTTCACCATTATCACAAGAAAATGATAATGTTCCTAGCTGTGATTGTTGCTAGCTAACGGAAGAGCGACGTGGATGGCAAAAGAGGGCAAAAAAATTTGGTTCGATGGCATATGGTGGAATGACAGCTTCCAATGCATTTAAAGGAACTCATGAACTTTGAATGGCATCAAACAAGTAGACTTGCCAGAGCAATGAATTACACAAACATGAACTTTTGGGCAGAATCAGGACATAAAAGTTAGAATCTAATCTAAGTAGCATGAAGTAGAAAGATGTCAAGTGGAAACTTTTGGAGACACATCTAGTGTGATATGCCCATTATGAGGAGCAAGTACTCGATAATGACCTATTTCCAAAGCAAGGATTTCGAGCAGAAATTGTGATATTTATAGTCCGAACACCATGACGAACTTTGGCCCCTTCTGAAAGCAAGAAATATCCCTGCAGGAAAGAAGGCAACATATAAGAGAGTTCTTGAAGTGAGTGATAGTTGAATTCTCCAGTCATTTCTGGCAAAAGTTGATTCTTACTTTGCTAGGGAGTTCATAAAGAAGTAATCAAGCAACTTAACAACATACTAGAACAAACATAATTAAGTTGAATAGGTGATAACAATATGCCAAAATGAACCTTACCTTCTCCACACCATATAAATAGGTAGGTTCAAATGCTTTGCTTCGTCTCTCAAACCACTGTACTGTAATAAACAACATACCACGAGAAGTTAGAGAAAATGAGACCCTTGTGAGTTGACAGCAAAGGGCAAAGATAAGAAAAGTCATATAGGCACCACTAGATCATATGACCAGTTTACTGCCAGACAACATACCTATTGTTGAAACAAGATGATCCACGCTTGGTAATTGAATACCCTTGATGGTATGGAGGAAGTCATTCCAGTTTGATCTGAACTGTTGTTAAAATAATCAAGAAAAAATAACCCTCGGTAAATGAGTGCATGTTACTTTGTTTAACTAATTAAGTGATACAGATAATAAAAAGCACAAAAATCAGCATCACACGAATCATGAAAGAGTAACTTGATCAAAATAAATGTTATTTCACTGCATGGCATTCAAACATTCCTTAATCCAAAACTTGATGAATATCATTTATATGAGTAAGACATATGTTGACAAATCAATACTACTAGTCCACAATTCTCCAAGTGTTCCTCACACAGCAAGTTAGATATCAAGGTGACATGCGCCAAGCAACCACATGGACTAACTACTACTCCATTACCCGCATAAATGATTCTCCCAGGTCCAACTATACAAGAATCTTTTGTAATACCAGAGTAACATAAAGGGAACATGAATGCTGAAATGATAACAATCAACTTCTTACCATTAATTGAAAAGTATTATCTGAAAGTTGTTTTATATTCCTCCAGAACGAGACAACACGAAAGTACCACTTTCTGAATAAATACATAACTGCTGCTTTAAATGATTCTTTTGCGGATAATGGATGGTATGCAGAACCCTCCACAGTTGTCTTCGAATCCGATACTCCTGAAGTGGTTGCGGTAATAGCTGTGTCAGCTGCATTCTCTGGTTGTGGTTCAAATTCCTTGTCTCCCTTCCAAGTTCTGAACATAATTTTGCTCCTTCTAGCTCCAGGACCAACCCAAGTTGACCAAAACTTAGATGCCAAAATATTGAACCTATCACCATTAACCTCTAGAATTTTCTCAGCTGAACGCCCCAGGTTCTGAAGATCCATAATGTAGGATGCACCTTTGCTGACCCATAGTCCACCACTGATTATCTACAAATTTAAAGGCAGGGAACAAACAAGTCATACCAATAGGAAACATGAGCTAGTATTGCAAGCAAGGGAAAAAACATAAGGAATATTATCACACTTGAGTCCCAAGTGCAAAAAGGAGAAAATGCTCGACACACTTCACAGAATAGCAAAGAGTCTAACAGCAAGAAATGCAAAATAGTGACAAGCAGCAATGTGTACCTTGATTTGGACAAGTTGCGCTTCACCAAATTCAATCCCAGAAAACTCGCTTGAACAGCCAGGCTTCACATGAAAAAGGTAACTCAAAGTTGTGAGGCTACATATGCACACTAGACTATTATGGAACAAGGTAAAGGAAAAAGAAACAACCAGATAAAAAGGTTTGGCATTTTTCTTTATTTCAAATCCAGGATATTGTGTTTCTAAGTTGAACAGGAGATAGCTTTCAGCATGTAAATATATATGAATGATACTTTTTAGGAGATTTAAGGGTTGTAGTTGCATGCACTTACAAGTAAGTTATGATGTGTGCACAACGCAGTATACTTAAGACATGGAACGGAATGGTTTATCAAACTTCTATTTTGTTCTAGTTTCCACGTGGTACTAAATCAATTGCATAAGGATCAACAAACACGTCAAACTGGATGCAATCTACGTTAACACTAACACATTCCTAGAGAGTATATAATCTCGTTCATTTGAAGTGCAGTAGTATTTACCAGAATAGGAGGGGATCACTACTACAAAGTTAGCTTACGTAGCAATACCCTCATGCTTTTTCATCTCGATATGTTCACACTATAACAGAAACCATAAGCATATTCATACACATTCGAAGAAAAAAAAATCATCTTAAAGATTTCATATTAGGCAAACCAAATGCAAATTTGGCATGCTGTTTCTGGGGGAGCAATGAATAGAGGAATAGCTGGCATATCATAGTTTTACAGTAGCGTGGGACTATTCCAGAACAAGCAGTTGCAGAGAAGAACAAAAAACTAGCATACACCAAATCTGAAACAATGCGGTATTGTAAGTACCTCTGCAGGACTAAGCCAGAAGCCAGGATGGTCAGGGGATCACTAATCGAAATTACTGTTACATTACAACTTAAAAAGTTGCTAAAATTATAAGTGTTTCCTATTCAGTAGCCAAACTAGAGAAATCCAGCAACTACTGCGCAGTGCGCACACAGGTAACTTTGATACTAGCCTCAGGCTTGCTCAATTTTTTACCAGGGCGTCGAATTGACAACATTGGCGAACCCAGGCCAGGGCAGTTCGCACAAAATTCGCAACACCCAGGCTAGCACGAACGCGCGCAGTACAAGCACGGGCAGAAGACGAAGAAGGGCGAGGAGGGGCGGGATGCTCACCTGCTGCACGAAGTTGGTGTGCATGACGACGAGCAGGCAGAAGAGCGCGACGGCGCCGGCGAGGTAGAGGTACTCGAGCGCGAGGCGGATCCGCGGCGTGAGCAGCTGCGACAGCATCCCGGACAGCCGCGCGTGCACCCGCAGGAACGTCTGCTCCGGATCCATCCCCCCCCCCTCCGCCCTCGCCGACGCCGACGAGCCCCAAACCCTAACCACCGCCGCGCCGCGCCGCGGGCACTCCACCTCCCCCGCCCGCCCGCCTAGGGATCGGAAAATTCGAGGCGTTCCCGATGAAACTGGCTTTAGGCGACGGTGGAATTATTCGGGGGAAATTGGGGAGTGATTTTGAATTTGTACGTTTCGCTTTCCCCCCTCTCTCTGTTCCTCGCCTCTCTGTCGTCGCACGAGCACTGCGAGCCTGCGATTATCTCTGCGAGGATTCTTTCTTGGGGAATGGGCCAAGAGGTGGGTGGGGCCCGCGCCCGCAGGAATTTTTTTTTTCCTTTTTTTCCTCTGGCGCCGGCACGTTGGTTGGCCCTGGCTCTGCGAGCGGTTGGCCGCTGGGATTAGGCCGCCACACGAGCGAGATTTTCTTCTTTTTTGTGTGATCGGATGGTCTCGCGTTATTTTCGGAGGAGATCGGACGGTCCAGACGTCCACTTTTTTTGCTGGCTTGGCCACCAATTTTTACCGCCGTGGACAAATTGATTTTCGCGTAGGAAGCACATAGGGTGATCGCGTCGAACTATCGGAGCAAAAAATAACTATCGTTTTATGTTGTGTGATGCTTATATTTTAAAATTTACCATTAAAATAAACGGTTGGTTTGTTTTACAGATAAGAGATGTGGTTAGTGCAAATACCCTTATACATTGTATATTGTCAATTTCAATTATGTACAACATAAGTTTAAAAAAGGAGCAGTTTTACATCCTCAAGGAGCTATGGTATCTTTTTTTTATTGTAAATTTAGTATCTCTTAATACCTAGATACTATTAGGTACTAAATTTTACATTAAATTTTTGATGTATCATAATACCTCATCAAGAATCGTAAAATTTCTCTTAAAAAAGTTAAGTTTAGCAACCACTTAAATGTTCAAGCATAATTATACCAAACGAGATCATCATAATTTGGGATAACGCTAGCCGGACCTGAAAAGCTGGTGGTGAACAGCTCGGCATGAATTTTAGAAGTGTTTTTTGCTGGTGGATGCAACCTGATAATTGGTGATAAGATTAATTAATCTTCTTTCTTAAGTTCAGTAGCAATGCTTGAAGCGCTATCAGGAAAAGAGAATTGCAACATTTAGGAAAAGAAAACAAAAGAGAGCTTTTTATCTCGAAGGATACGAGGTGGTGGGCTGGTTTCCTTCCGGAAACAGATCAAAGTGGGCCTCTTTCCCCGTGTTGGATATAGGCTGTGTTCGGTGGGAGTTTCCAGCACTTTCTTATTTTCGGCGCGCATGCTTTTTAAACTGCTAAAATATACAGTTTTTTTAAAAAATTTCTATAGAAAAGTTGCTTAAAAATTATATTAATCTATTTTTTAAAAAAATAGCTAAAACTTAATTAATCACGCGCTAAACACTACTTCATTTTACGTGCGGTGAGTGAGCCATAGACGTGTTAGACCCAAACATTAAACGGTATTAGGCACTACTATTTGCATTGGAAATAAGTTATTTTTCAATTTGACGTGAAGTTTTAAATTCATTTCTCAAAAAAAAAAGATATAACGTGTCTTTCAACTCCACAATGTAAACTTGATTCCAAGATGGTTTGAATGACGATTTCTGCTAAGGTGATATCTATGTGGCTAGTTTGATTGGGGTTATCATCTCACATGTTGTTGATGTGGCACTTGCAATCATAAAAAGTCGGTAGGATCCACATGTCAGTGATTATATGGTTAAAAAAATAAAAAAAAATACAATGGGTCCCACCTTTTTTTTCCTTTCTCTTCTCTTCTTTCTTTCTTGCTTCTTCTCCTCGTTCCCTTCTATTCTTCTTGGATTATTTTTTAGTGTACCTTTTTCTCGCTCACGTGCCCAGGACAGACGCCGGCGCGGTGGCGGGAAGCGACAGAGGAGAGGCAGCACAGAAAGGGGTCGCCGTGGGCTGGCGTGGCCGAGCGCCGCAACGCCCTGGTTTGGCCAGGGCGCTGGTGGCAAGTAGGCCCGTTGGGCGGCGGCACAGCAGTGGGTGGATCCGTGGATGGGCAGAGCGAGGAGGTTGCTCGCCCTTATTGGTAGCTCGGGAGGAATAAACGGCCACACGACGATAGCCCTGAATCAAGGCGAAGACGGTGGCATGCTCCGGTAGCATCCCTGAGCAGTCGAAGGCGGCGTGAGCTCCATGCAATAGCATCGACCTCGATGCCAACTAGCTCCATTGTGAATTTGTGACATCCAGATTGGTGTCTAGAGTGAGCTGGCCTTCGACAGTGCACCTCGCATGTCGTCATCCAAGTCGTTTGTCACGTGTCGAACCTAGCAACAAGGCAACCATGTCGATGCTGCCGCCAAACTCCTCCTCCCTCCCGCTAGTGGCTGCGATGTACAACCCGCCGCGTCCCTCCTCTTCGCCACTGCTCCCCAACCGTCTGGACCCACGCGTCTGGAAAATGAATATTTTTATATGCGGGCAGCCCAACCGTACAGGATAAACATTTTTCCATACGGTCGGATTAAGTGGACCGCACTGGATAATCGATTATCCCGTACGGTCAATTTATATCTCCCGCACGCAAAAAAAAAACCCAAAAATAAAAAAAACGCGAACATCGTCGACTGCCCGCATCCGGCCGCCGCTGCGAGCCGTTGAGCCTGCCCGCCTCCCCCGAGCTCTACGGCGAAACTCGTGAAACTACTACAGAAACTCGTCAACGAGCGGAGGAGAAACTTATCGCCGTTGCCGTCGCGAGCCCGCCCACCGCCGCCAGTTGCGTAGGCTGCCGCCTCGCCTGGCCGTCGCCTCGCGCGCCGCTCGCTGCTTGCCGCTCCTTCGCCGAGCAACGCGCTGCCGCGGCCGCCGCGCTGTCCGCCGCCCGTCCCGCGCCCGCCGCAGCCACTGCGTCGCCTCCGCCAGCAGCCGCCACACCCCTTCGCCAGCAGCCGCCGCGCCTCGCCGACGGAGCCGCCGCCGCAGCCTTCTCCCGCCGAGCCGCTACTCCCTCACGGGGAGGAGGGGAGGGGGAGCAGCCGCCACCGCCGGGGCCGCCGCCGCTGTTGACGGAGGAGGGGAGGGGAAGGAGGAGCTAGGGGAATGGTTGAGAAGATAAGGTAGAGAGAGAGAGGAGTGGTTGAGGGAGAATAAAAAGGAAAAAAGAAGAGAGATAATGTGAAAATTTTGAAGTGAGTGGAAAGGAAATGAGTTAAGTTTTTTTCTGTGCGATCCACTTGAAAAGCACGCACGTGAAAATCGATTTTCTCATGCAGTCCTTTTAAGTCGACCGGCGACGGGTTGTTGCTCGCACGGGAAATTCCCGTGCGATCCTCTTAAGACGCCCGCACAGAAAAATACATTTTCCTGTGCGAGCAACAACCCGCCGCCGGCCCCCCTATTTTTTCGTACGGTTCCACTTACGGACCGCATGGAAACAAAAGGAGGCGGTGTCCAAAAAAAATCTATCGTGTAGTAGTGCCTCCTTCTTCCTCCACCCAACCATCTCTCCTACCCCACGTCCTGCTCGGCCTCACCCCGCCCTCGCTGTTGTGTCGGTGGTGCCTTAGGGGCCGCAGGGCGTATTCGCCTCCACCTTAAAGTGAGGCCCACTATATTTTTTTAATTTTTTAACTTAGTACTCATTGATATGTGGGTCCCTTTTTTATATGTCGCGTAAACGTCACGTCAGCTAAAACAGTTATCGATGCAGTCTTAGAACAAATTTTACACTAGTTTAGAAGTTGAAAGACACATTATATCTACTATTTCGATTTAGGGACTAACTTATAACTTATTATTCCATTAATTTGCATATAAAATTCGGCTTCGTCCCTCCCGGTCCCGGCCCACAAGAGCACGTTTAATACCTGCCCCACCTCTCCTCCGGCGACCGATCGGTCTGTTTTCCTTCCCCGGATTTGTTCGACGCGCAGCCGTGGCACGCACGTGTACATACGCTCGCTTCCCACGGACGTCGCGGACCCAATCGGTCGGCGGTGCACTGGTGCAGCCGTGCAGGCAAAGATAACGCGCTGCTGAGCGCACACACTCGACACACCGTCGTTTCATCGGTGACAGTGCTGCATACGAGTACGACGCTCCCCTGCCTCGTACCGTCGAGAACACGAAAATGATACGATGGCGCGCTTGTCGATCTCCGACCCGTCTTGCGCGCTGGGCACGTTGATAGATCTCGCCTGGGTGACTTCTCAGTTGTCAACAACAGCTAGTTAGCCTACCACTGCATTCTTCAGGTGTACTACTGGCAACTACTTCCTCCGTTGTTCATCTGAGGCCTCTCATATTGCAAGCTATGGGGCCCATACCCCTAGCTCAAAAAGTTGGCCTAAAGACACCCACCCCACAGTACAAGCATTCATATATGTGTGGCTTAATTGGATGGAGACACTTATGAAGGAAACGAAGTTCACAGTTGGCGTGACCCCAGGCTTTTGGACACGGTAGCGGAGCAAAATTTATTCCTCACATACCCCACTCTCCAACCCAGCACGCAACGGACGCCTCGACCGCTTCGCTCTCTCCAACCCCTCATGGCGGCGGGACCGTCCCCGGCGGCGGTGGCTGGCGTGGCGGCGGGAGGCGTCCTCGGCGGGAGTGGCTGGCGCGGCGACGGCGGGAGGCGTCCCAGGCGGCACGACCTCGCCCCTCGCATCTTCATGGCTGATGCCGCTCACCCGCCGCGTCACCGGAGTCCGCCGCTTGCCCGCCGTGCTGATGCCGCTTCACCGCGTCGCAGCTGCAGCGGCTCGGCGTCGGCGGAGCCACAGGCGCCTGTGGAGGAGCCGCACGGCACCGGCCGCCGCGGCGAGCGCGGCTGTCGCCGCCACCGCCGCTAGGAGGAGGAGCGGGTGGGCCGGGCCGGCAGCGCCGGCGGCGCGGAGGAGGTGCGCGTGCAGATGCAAGTGCAGGTGCAGGTGCGAAATTTCTTGGACAAGGAGAAATTTCCGCTTCTTTTCTCAACTTTCATCTTTGTGTGCATATACTAGTTCGGATTGTTTCTCGGAGAAGGAGAAATTTCTTGTCTAGGTGAGTTGGGATTTGATCTTTGGGACTGAATGAAATTGGTATCTTGTTTGGGATTTTGTTTTGTTTTGATTGAGTCGTGGCCAATGACGACGACGACGATGCCGGCAGCAGCAAGAACGTCGGCGCCGGGTGGATTTTTGGAGGGCGAATCCGGGATTTCTCCGAGCGTCTACGGCGCGAGGACACGCTGCGTCGAAGAACCGAAGCCCACAGCGCAGGCGACGCCGGTTTTCCTGGCCGCGCATGGACTCGTCAAAGCGTGGTACCGCGTCACTATGTTTGGGGGCGAGGGGCCAAGCTTGGTCGCCATTCCTGGCTCCACCTAAGCGAAATCCTCCGTGGCGCAGGTAAGGCACGAGCCAGCTCACCGCACTGTAAGAGGCCTAACAAATTTATCTCTAGGCCCTGTTTAGATCTCACCCTAAAACTTTTCACCTCGTCACATCGAACGTTTGAACACATGTATGAAGTATTAAATATAGGCTAAAAAATAACTAATTACACAGATTGCGATTAATTTGCGAGACGAATCTTTTAAGCCTAATTGCTCCATGATTTGACAATGTAGTGCTACACTAAACATTTGCTAATGATGGATTAATTAGGTTTAATAAATTCGTCTCGCGGTTTACTGACAGATTCTGTAATTAGTTTTTTTATTAATGCCTGAACACCCTATAAAACACCCTATATAATATTCGAAGTAACCCGCCAAAACTTTACACTTCTCGATCTAGACACCCCTAGCTCATTTTATTTGTCCCAAATAAATTATTCTTAGAGCAACTATTGTATCGGACTTTGTGAAAGTAAAAAATAATTATATTGAGAGTGGATAAAATAAAGAATAATTGTATTAGAGATTTAATAAAATAGAGGTATGCTATTGGTATGTATGGGATGGTGAAAGAAAAAACTTATTTTTGGACGGGATAGTAGCCTACTAGCTTTGCCCTGCTTTCTGCATTGCACATTTGCGCATTCTATGTAACGCTAACTACTAGCTTGTGGAGGGTATTGTGGCTTTGTGGGATATAGTAGCAACATGCCAAGTTGCCAACATGCGAGAGCCAAGGACGACAGTAAGTCAACCATGAATTAACAACTTATTACTGTAGATGTTGTGTGCTGATGAGGATGAGGGGTCTCCGTCTTATATATATGATCATGTTTCAGGGCTTCAGGTTTAGGTAGGGATTGCCCGTTTTCACGGCGGAAGTTTCACATGATATCTGTATTTCTGCATAATCTAATTCGATGGGATATGCCATCTTTGGGTCAGGAGACGTTTTTACCATCTGTAATATATTTTATCAGAGATATCTTGGCACTATAATCTATTTTGAGTAAAGTGTATTGGTGGTCCTTAAACTTATAGGGTTATGTCATATAGGTCCATAAACTCTTAAAATGGATATCTAGGCTCCATAACTTGTCAAAGTGTATCATCTAGGTCCTAAATCGACACATCCCCTCTAGGATCCTACGTGGCGCTGATGTGGCATGCCACATGGACGTGACGTGTCCTTTTCTTTTTTTTCTTCTTTTCTTTTTCTTTTTCTCCGTTTTCTCTTCATTCTTATTTTTGTCTTTTCTTTGCTGCTCGGGTCACAGAGAAAGGAGAAGAAAGGGAAAAAAAGAGAAGAAAAAAATAAAAAGAAATTTTATTTTAAATGGGACCCATTTGTCAGTCAAAATGATGCCATGTCATTTTATGTGGCATGCCACATCAACGCCACGTAGGATCCAGAAGGGGTTGTGGCGATTTGGGACCTATATGACACATTATGACAAATTCTGTGACTTCGATATGATTTTGAGAGTTTATGGACCTAGATGACACACCCCTACAAGTTTAAGGACCGTCCACGTACAATTTACTCATCTATTTTTATCAGAGACTTTTAGGATTTAGAGGTTAGGGTCAAACAAGCGGTTGCACGTACCCATGAGACAATAATGCTCGACGATGGTGCTATGTCATCTTTCTCCAGAAAAGAATGGAGCACACATTGGATCCATGATCCGACACTGCGGAGTAATAATTTAACACACATTATTAGCCAACAAGATCAGAAAAGGCAAAACCTGATAAAAAATAGTTCGGTTGAAAGCTACGGACCAAAAGTTACCCACAAATTAATTAAATCCACAATTACACTCATATATATAGCCTAGCTAGCTAGCTATAGCTAACAACCCGTGGCTATTACTTGATCTCTGCTTGCACTAACGACGGTCACAAGCAGTGAATGAAAGCAAAGTGGCGAGAGCCACGCTAACGAACGGCAGCGCGCGTACGACGTCCAGGCCGAAGACGAATTGGCTCTCTCCTTCGTTTGGATGCAAGCCTTGTTTACCTTTCACCACTCGATGAGTCACTTTTGGAAACTACTGCCGCTACTGTAACTAGTGCCTGAATGCAAATTATCCACCAGGAAAAAGTAAAGAAACCAAGTACCAATCGAATTAAGCACGCAAGTGTAGATCAAGTTTTTCAGATCATTTTGAGAGATATTTTTTTGACATTATATTTAAAAAAACCACCGCAAGTTTGTTTAAGTAAAAAACTTTTAGATGTGACTATAGTATAATTGAAGTGTAATATTGTAACTGTATTATAATTATGTTGTGTCTGCATTGTAACTACACTATAATTACAATATAACTTATATAAAACTTACATTCAACTATAGTTTGGTCAGCTAATACTAGGATCTTACATGTAACATGTATGTGAAAATTTCTTTCTAGCGAACATACATAAATCTCGAGGTGTTCCGATATTCACAAATCTGAAAGTTTTAGGAGAAAAAAAAACCTACAGAAGTTTTTTAGCAAATCCGTAGATTTATGTGAATTGGACTGCTCATGATCAATTGATGATTGAAAAATGTGTCGTTGGGAAACTGAAACTACCGGTGCCTAGCCAAGAGCATACTAAACAAAGTAGAAATACACAGTAATACTCTTCCAACATACTATATGGTGGTATAATACAGCCATCTATAGCTAGCTAGGGCCTAGCAACCAGCTGATTCAGCTACATTACAGAGAGAAAAAGAAAACTACTAGTACTAGTATTAATAATCTTCGTCTCTTCCAACTTCCAAGCGGTATGCACACACAGAGAAGGCAGCGGCTCATGCAGTGTCATTTGCTAGCTTGTCTAATGCTGAGCTCAGAAGCCTCTCTCTCGCACGTAGTAGTAAATCAACCCAACACCGTTTTTTTGCTTTGTCTTAATGTCTAGCCGTCGTCGTCGTGGTCTCCATCCCCGGCGCCGGCGAGCGCGCGGCGGAAGGCGGCGGGGGAGCAGGGGATGCGGAGCGGGCCGCGGTGGTCGTAGCCGTACTCCTGCGCGGCGCGGCCCAGCAGCTCGGCCAGCGCCGGCCGCCCCAGCAGCTCGGCCCGCACGAGGAACCGCTCCGTCGCCTCCTCCCCTTCCTCCCCGACGTCCACCGGCACGTGCCCCTCCGGCGGCACCCCCGCCGCCGCCGCCTTCTTCTTCGTCCCTGCGCCCCGCCGCTTCCCCGGCGACGACGACGAGGCGGCGGCGGCGGAGGAGTCGCCGACGCGGGAGAGCCGCCGGATGAGCTGCCTCATCGATCCCGGAGACGCACACCTGGCTCTGTGGCGAGATCGAGAGCTCAGCTGCTGCGTGGAATTTCTCCAGGAGAGATCGATCGAGTGGTTGGGTCGCCTATTTATATTGTGCCGGTTGGTTTGATGAGGTGGCAGGTGGGTCCCACCTGGCAGTGGGTGGTCGGTGGCGAGAGGAGTGGGTGTGGCCGTGTGGGTGGGAGGGTACATGTGGGGACTGGTGGTACGTGGACCGGTACGATCCGCCACTGCTTTTTTTTTTCCCTCTTCCTTTCTTTCTTTTTTTTTTCTCCTCGATTTCGTTTCCTTTTCTTTGTATCGCCTCAGTCGCGAGAAATTTCCGTGCCTTCTTCTCTTTACGATATTTTTTAGTGATTCGTGCACGACCGCATGCCACAAAATGAGCAATAATGACAGCGTGCCGCTCCACTACTAGCTAGGAGCCCAAGTTTGTCAAGACCAGGTGTGGTAGTAATAAACCACCGTCTAATTAACCACGAGTACTTAGTTGTTTCCTTAAAAAAAGCCACAACTGAATGAACCTTTATTGTGTCGTTCTCACGACGTACTGTCCACACCAACAAATACTCCCCCGTCAAAAAAAACAACCTGTTATTAAGATATGATTTATCCTAATACAATGAATTTGAATATACTCTCTATATCTAAATCCATTGTAATAGAATGTATCACGTCATAATATTTTTTGATTTTTTTGGATGGAGAAAGTAGGTCATGAAGTACGCTGTACTGTTGTTACTGTAGTGGTAAGCTAAGTTTGCTGTGACACCTGACTGACGCGGAAGGCTAGTACAACGGCCAGTCGAGTCACCATGACAGTTTGCCCGATCAGGAACAGGCGAGCCCTACCCGACGTGTCGATCGGCCACCGGCGCCGGCGATGCAATGCATGCGTACTGGATAACTGTAGCTCGTCATCGGTAGTGTACCGCTACTAGGAAAAGCATTATCGCAAGCGGCCGAAAAGGGTCTTCGCAGGCGGACGTTGGCTAGTCCGGTCCGCCTGCGAAAATAGGAATCGTCCGCTTGCAAAAAAGAAAACTTTCACCTGCGAAGATAGGTAGAAAATATTGAAATCTAAATATAATTTGGCCGTAAATTACTTTTAAATTATTTATTAGAAATTCTTGCAGGTACATATATTGGAATATTATCAAGCATTTGGTACTGAGAAATCTACTTATATTGCATAAATCAAAAGTGTTGCCAAAATATATATATTACAATATTGTTTTACATTGTCACTTCAAATAACGTCATCTAGTTACATTATGGCATAGCAGTGTTCCACTCCCGAAGATCCTTGAATTCGTCACTTGCCGCAAGGGCACCCTCTAGGTCGAAGAAATCTCCTTTGACATGACAGCACTCATGGTGGATGAAGTGGCACAGATCACGCTGCACATTTGTGATACCTGTATCGTCAAAGCTTGTTCGACATTCTAATCTTGGCAACTGCATACATTGAAATTAATCAATATATTAGTATCATAAATATCAAGAGCTGTCTAGTACATAGTATAGAGACTTACATCCTCCGCGTTAGTCCTGTACCGTCCATTAACCCTAAGGAATTCGCACGCATAATACCCGCAAAGGACCGTTCCTCGCGGTTGCTTGTGACACTGAAGGACATATCATAGAAAAAAGTAGTTATAATTTGCAATTAGTGAAACTATTGGAATACATAAAGTGAGTGGAGTATTACCGGCCAATAGGTACGTACTAGCAGCTTCTCCCGTGTTCGGGTCTGTTCTCCACCCTTGAACTTGTAGTATTGGTATGTACTGTATGGATGTCATACCGTTTCAGAGTAAGGAGGATATTTATTTGTAATACATCCATATACAAATGCAAGAGTCATAATAACTTACTACTGTAAGATTGTTAGAAATTCTTTGTATTGCTTGTGTTTGTAATCGAGAGGATCCAAGACTACCATGGTTCCGTCTTTAGGGTGGATGAGTAAACAGATATAATGATCGCTACATATTAACAACATTATAATTAGTTAGTAACAGCTAAAATAAGACATATGTGTACAAGATAAATGTACCGGACTTACTTAAAATTATAAGCGGCCATGAAGACTCTTATTTTGAAAGTGCAAGAAGGCTCGTCCAATGTACTGTGCGACAGTAATCAATTTCTCCTTGTGCAAGCCCTTCTTGTATTCTGCTATCTCTTTCGGATTCTTGCCCTTCAGCTGGTCTGACCCTGGATCTAGCGTAACGGTATGCTGTGTTTGGCATATCCGAGTTGGATCCAAGAAGCCGATGGGTTCTTTTTTCTTCTTAGCATCCATGTATTGCATCCTACAGAAGAAGTTTGTTAGTAACAATCACATGGAGTTGTATTGTACATATTTTTCATCTAATTAATTAAAACTCGTACTCACATGCACCAAACACCGACATAATTGACGTTCATCTTATCCCGACGATATATGGCGTGGAGATATGAGAAATCTAGCCATACGTAACCTTCTTCGCCGAAACAATCTGCCGGTGATCGAGCTGTTATATTGCCCAAGCCTTTCTTGCTGGCCTCCATGTAGAAGTTATGTAACCTTCTCATCTCCCATGGTGCCTCTTTCAGTGCCCATTCCGGCAAGAGTGCTTTCCCATGTTCGTACTTTTCCGGGCAATCATCGGTTGCGAAGTATGTTGGCCCGGCTAGCACAGAAGCCTTCTGGGGGTCGTCATCTCTGAGCTTGGCACGTTCCTTACCCCCTCTAAAGACGGTTAGCATGAACTTCTCCTTGTTCGCATCTTTGGACTTGGATTCGTGGCTCCTAATCACTCGTGGCACCTCGGGTTCTTTCGCAGGAGAAGGGTCTTCAAATATCTCTGGCTCTGTACCATCCCATTCCAATCCTGGTACTTCATCTTTGTCTGACCCGACTGATGCCACAAATTCCACCTCTGGTTCTGCCACTGTAATCTCTATGGGCACATCCGGCACTTGAATCTCCATGGCTGTCTCCGGCGGTGCAATCTCCATGGCTGTCTCCGGCGGTGCAATCTCCTTGGCTGTCTCCGGCAATGCAATCTCCGGTGGCACTTCCGGCACTGGATTTTCCTTACCAAGTTCTGGATCATCCGCCTTATCAGTCACCTTCCTCTTAGGAGGCCTCGGAGGTTTTCCCAAACCCAGTTTAGGCAACACAGGTTTTTCCCCGGCGTCGGTGCCCAATCCAAAGAATATGTCATTCTTGTGCCAGAGAATTACAAGATCGACCGCATCCCCAAGTACGGATATACCATCTGCAGTCAGGTAGTCAATGTCGTAGGACTCAAACCCTTCGTGGACCACTTGTGGCTGCACCTTGGCATACGCATCGGGTATGAATTGTTCATTGTATGTTCTACCAGGGATAGCAATGGCTGTAGCGGCCTCAAGAATTTTACCGGAGCGTCCAATGGGAACGTGCAATCTGCAGGGTGTATTCTCCTTGAGGTCATCGAAGGGGTAATCTGGCTCAGTTTCTTTGGTTTCGGGGCGAGGCAAAATCATGTGCTTGATGCAGAAATCCATCATTTGCCTTTCAAACTCCGCAGCCCCTTCGTCTCTAAGTTTATCCTTGTACGCTTCACGTTTCTTGTGGGGGTCATTTTTGAACCCTTCCTTCCAACTTATCTTGCTCGACACACCTCGAACCCTTCCCCCATGCTCAGGAGTACCCAGCGCCGTACTTAGCACATCTTTCTCCCTTTTAGGCTTAAAATATACTTTCTTTTGTGAACTGGATAAATTTTCTATTTTATCGGCAACGCTCTGCAGCTCCGGATTTTCAAACGACACTTTTCCCTCATCCGTGATCTTCGGAGTTCTAGCTCTTACCCAGTTCCTTGATCTCTATGTCCACTCCTCCATTGGTACCGGTTGCCCCTTCTTCCTCATTTCCTCCTTCTCTTTTGTCCACTGTTCCACCTTTGGTGCGTATCCCGCGGAGCCTAAGCGATGAGAAAATTTGTTCTTCTTGGCCAACTCTGAATACTTTTGGCTCCTTTTAATTTCTTCCGGGGAGTTCTTCAAGGTCAGAAAGTCGTCCCACTGATTGGGGGTTATGTTGGCATACGTCGAAAACGGTGTGCGTCCCGTCTTCACAAATTTCTTGTTCAAGGTGGTTTTCCAACCACGCCAAGACTTGGCCATTGTTTGCAGTGCACAATTTCTCACCGCTGCCTCTGATCCTTCCGGGAACTGGAATATTTTCTTCAACTCTTTCCATAGGACTTCCTTATCCCCATCCGTTACATGATCCTAGTCCTTGACCGTGATGGAGATCTTCTCCCTTACTATTATGCCACACTGTGAACTGAATTTCGCACGTGTCGTCTTAGGGGCGAGCGGCTCTCCTTTAGGCAAAACATGGGTAACAACATGGAACCCTTCATCCTTTCTATTTACGCTTCTCTCACCCTTCCTTCTCTTCGCCTTTGCTGACCGTTCGCTTTTCTGTGTGCCGGTTGTGTTTGCCGGTACGTCCTCGTCTTTCGAAGTAACTTTTTTCTTCGGCTGCCATTTTGATCGTCGTGGCGCCGTTTCCTACGAGAAGGTATGCATGAAAGTTTCGAATTAGCTCGGGCTAATAGCTATCACTGTGAACATTTTACATATTAAGTTTACTTACCCCTTCTTTAGGGGGAATGTAGTCCTTGTCGCCTTCTTCACCGTCGCCCTTTTTCCTTCTCTTCGGGCTTGGGCTTGGACAAGGATCGCTTGGTGACGAGTACTCCTCGTCTTCGTCACCTACGTCGCTGTCGGAACTACCATCCGGTGGGACCGTTGGTTCCGGAGCAACCACAACAGCAAGGGACTGCTCCTGCTCCCCTAAACCCTTCTCTTCAGTCCCTTTAGTACTATCGGCCATCGTTTCAAACCTCTAATATAAAAAAAAAGTGTTATCGTCAACATTTTAAATTACTCAAATTAGTACAAACTAATTAGTACAAAAATAAACTGTGTATTAACAATATGTCGTATGAACAAATATAAATGCGAAGAGATTTCCAAATTTAACTAGCACTTACTATTATGCTAAATTAATTAGTACAAACAAATTTAAATAGCGAAAATAATGACTACTTACTATTATGCTAAATTAATTACTACAAACAAATTTGTACAAAATTTGATATGTTATTATCAAGTAG